CCGCCCCGGGCTCGGGAGCCCTCCCGCCGCCTCTGCCCACCCGGCGCGTCCAGCAGCCCCTGGCGCCGCTGCCGCCGCCCCCAAAGCGGCTCCTGGCCACGGGTGCTGCGCCGGGCTCAGCTCCGTCCGTACAACCCTGCCAAGAGCTGAGGGCAGCCAGAGCTGCGTTTAAGCAGCATCAGGCCCAAAACGGGGCGTTTGCACAGGGTTTACTGCCTGCACCATTCCTGCAAGGAAGCGCCAAGGAGGAGGTGCTGGGGCTGCAAGGAGAGCAAGGTAACAATGAGGTGGAACTTAGAGGAGCTTTACTTAACTGGAGCACTTGTGGGAGCTAATGGGAAACGTAAGGGAAAACAGCTCCTTTTGGTGAGTGGGGATGTGCTTTGAATTGCAGGGTACCGAGAGGTGATTTCCTAGGCTTCTGTTGGCCCCAAACTCTGGAAAGGGACCCTGCTTCCCGCGCGTGGGCTGCAGCGCTGGCCACGCTGAGGGCCGCACGCTGTGTCTCTGCGGGTCCCTCGAGGAACGGCCGTGCTCGGCTGCTCCAGGGTTGCTTTATTTACACGCCGCACAGAGGTTCCCAAGTCGGGCGCCCTCACACGTCCGTGTACTCGTGGTAGATCCGCACCTCTGACCTCCGGACGCTCTGGAGGGACCTGATGCTCTCGCTCCTCGTCCTCATGTTTGACTTTCTGAACAGTCTTCGCGAAAATGATCTGCACATGAAGAAGTATATTATTGGATCCAGGCAAACATTGCATGCAGACAGGAACAGTGTCATTTCCTTGCAGTAATACAGTATTTTATGTGCAGAGTCATCTAGAAGTTTATCTAGGTGGCTGAAAGTGAAGGGCATCCTGCACAAGTGGTAGGGCAGAAAGCAGGTGAAGAACACGGCCACAACCACCCGAATGCTCTGGTTGTGCTTGCGCTTCCTGCTGGACGAGCTGATGAACTGCCTGCTGGATCTGTAAATGTACCTGGATATGGCGATGTAGCAGCCGATGAGCACGGTGAGCACCACCACGAAGGTGCCCGTGTTGATGTAGACGACGGCCGCGTGCCACTTGGCTCCCAGCGGCGACTTGAGCTTGAGGCAGTCGTCGACGTTAGTCCTCGTCGGGTAGCCGTTGGTGAGGATGAGGTTGGGCAAGGCCAGGAAGGCCATGACCACCCAGACGCAGGCCGAGAGGACCTTGGTGAAGGTGATGCTGTACATCCTGGAGTCGCCGAAGGGCTTCACCACCTTCAGGTAGCGGTCGATGCTGATGAGCCCCAGGAAGACGATGGTGGTGTACATGTTCGCGTAGAACAGGACCGTGGTGTAGCGGCACAGGAAGGAGTTGAAGTGCCACGGGCCCAGCTGCGAGTCCTGGACGATCTTGAACGGGAACGTCAGCGTCATGAGCAGGTCCGCCACCACGATGTTCTTGAGGTAAAAGATGAAGCTGGTTTTGTTCCTGATGTGGAAGAAGATCCAGACGGCGAGCCCGTTGAGCAGGAGGCTTGCCAGGAAGATGATGAGGTAGAGCACCGGCAGGACGATGGTCGTGAACTCGTCGCGCGTGCCGTTCCG